CTTGCAGCTAAAGCCCAAGCACAACTGCTATATGGGGTTCAATTAGGACCATAGAACAGCATGACTACCTTAGAAAGAATTCAAACAAAATTTTTGAGAAGCATCTTTCAGGTTAACCGCTGCGTCCCAAATGCAGTACTTCAACAGGAAGGAGGGGTCAGTAAACTTGAATCCAATCTCTGGATATATATTTTTACCTACTGGCTAAAGCTACACCACAATCCTGGTGGACTGACCCATCTAATATTGGCAGACAGCTTCAAATCATCTTGGGAAATAGCTATCCAAAAGAAACTGAGCCACTATGGCTTTTCCAATGATGCCATCTTAACTTTAGGGCTAGATCAATATTAAGAGAAATTATCTTAGACAGAGAAGGCCAAACAGAAATTGCTGTTTTCTCTCACAACATATTTGTAAATAACCAAATTTTATCTCTTATACCAGCCTTATATTTATATCACATCACAGTTCCCAAATTCAGGAGAGCTTTATCTTTAGCTTGATTTAATGCTCTCCCCACAGCTGTTTTGGAAGGGAAATATAGGAAAACTCCTTATGAAACTTGACACTGTCCCTGTGACACATGTGCTATAGAAACCACAGCCCATGTTCTTTTATACTGCCAGTTCTACAGAGATATTTGCCACCAGCTGATTACCCCTTTTTTATCTCCAGGGCCCTCCAATTATTTTTATTTGCACTATTTGTTAGATAACCAGGATAAATCTATTTCTCTAAAAGTAGCAAAATTTTGCTATATTATGTGTAAGCTTCACCCACAAATGGTTGCCAGTAGTCATTGATGTTAGGGATTAACTTTGCTTTGTTTGTTTTACTAAATGTGTTTTTATCGGTCAATGACCAAAACAAAGTTTCTGTCTGTCTGTCTAGTTGCTGATGTTGCCATTCAGGAAAAGAAAATCTGAAGTTGGAAAGCCAGACTTATAATGGAACATGGAAGGTAAGAATCATGAACATGGGAAAGCTCAGCATAGTGAAAGATGAAATGAATTGACCACACATTGATATCTTAGGCATCAGTGAATTGAGATGGACGGGAATTGGACATTTTCAGTCAGAAGATCACTACTCAGCACAAGAACAGCAAAGAAGGAATGGTGCTGCCATCCTAGTCAGGATGATATATACAATGCAATCAATGACTGAATAATATCAATTAGACTTTATGAATATTCTTTTAATATGATTATCCAAATTTATGTTCCACCCACTGATGCAGAAGAGGAGGTTGATGAGTTTTATGATCAAGCCCAATTTGAAATTGACAGAACATGCATTAAGATATGCTACTTGTGGTGGAGACGGGAATGCTGAAGTTGGAAATATCAAGGAAAATGTAGCTAGACTGTGAGGCCTAGGAAACTGAAAAGAAGCAGGAGAATAACTTATTGATTTCTGCCAATCCTATGATTTCCTCATTGCTAACACAGACTCAAACAATCAAAAGAATGCCTGTATATATGGATATCACCAGACAGAGTACAAAGAAATCAAATTAACTATATTGTATTATTGCTAAAAGGAGGTTGAGAAGCTCAGTTACAGCATCAACGACATGGCCAGGTGCTGCCCATGGAACAGAAGAAGAAAGCCAACTAGTTTCCACAATATGATCTTGACCATCTATAGACCCATTTTCAAGAAGAACATCAGGAATTGCTTTGCAGTCCTTCATTGATAGGGAACCAGAGGAACTATGGAATGAACTTAAAGAGGTTTGAAGCATGAGTATGAAAAGAGAGTACCAAAGATCAAGAAACAAAACAAAGCAAACTGGATGTCAGAGCAAACTGGAATTTGCCAAGAGAAAAGAAGCCAAAGCCAAGAAAGACAAAAATCTCAGAAAGAAACTTAACAAAGAATTTCAGAGCTGTTAAAAGAGACAAGAAGCAGTATTACAACATCTGTAAAGACACTAAAAAACAAGGAAAGTCTTCCAAAAAATCTCTGAACTCAGAAGGAGGTTCCAACTTTGGATTCGTGTGCTAAAGGATGTCAATGGACAAACAGTAACAGATTCAAAAAAGATTAAACAAAGATGGAAGAAGTATACTAAAATTCTGTACAATAGAGATGTCAACATCCAAAGATATAGTGATTTTTGCTGGGTCATACAACAGCATAATAGGAAAGAATCCCATAATGTAGAATACTTTTTATTACAATAAATGCATGAATTAATATTCCTTTTCTAAAATACATATTTTCCAAATGCTGTTAGCTTACATGTCTGTATTATTTGGTATTTTAAAATTTATATGTGTGTACTGTTATTGGATGGCAAAATTATGTTTAATTGTCATTTTTAAAAAAATACAATTGCAGAATACATTCAGTAAAATCCTAATTATATATATATACTGTAGGATTTTTCATTCAAAATTCTACAAGACAAATTGGGACTCTGATGTAGGTTTCCTTTAGTGCAGGGGTGGGAACACAATTTTTCATTTTTTCTTGAGCAGTGGGTTTTGCCTCTAAACGCTATTGCTCCTTCTAAGGCTTTGATGGCACTGTGATTTTAATCTCAACATAGCGTAATTGTGCTGTCAATTTTTGGCAGCGTCAGAGGGAGCTCTAGAGGGCACAAAATGCTTTTCCATAATTAAGGTACTTTCAGTCAAGTCAGAGCTGCTGCTAACATTAAAACCACCTTTAGCAAGAGCTAAACAGATTCAAAACAAAACTATATAACACCTAGAAAAGTACAGCTCTGGGAATGACTAACATATCGGCCAAAGTGCCATTCCAAAATGCTTTGTTAATATGCTTCAATATACTTTATTTGTGTGCTTGAGTCTGAATGTGTTACTCCAAATATTTTAATTCAAAGAGCTCTGAAACATTTAACTTTTTAAAATAATATACTGTAATATTATACCAAGGTACACATATTCTGCTTGAATCCTATGTATTCCATCATATAAACTCTGTACATTTTCAAATTTTGATCAGAATGGTTTTGTCTGATTAGACGTATAGGTATAAATTGTGATATATAGACTGCATTATTTTTCAAAGGATTTTTCTTTCCCTTATGGTTGCAGACTGATATGTAACAATCCCTCTGTATGTATTTGTTTCTCTATAGAAGCTAGGTCTTCACATAATGGGGAATCTGTTGCTCTCCAGATTTTGCTATATTATGATCCTTGGGTACCCTAGGTAGGAAGTGTTAGATATTTCATTTCAGCAACATTTGGACAGCCACAGGCTCCTCCACCCTTGTTTTAGAGTACTGTTGGTTTTGTTTACATATACTTTTTGGTTTCATCATTTTTTCATTCCGTGCTCCTGCAATTCCAAGTGCACAGGTCCATATGTTTATTCAATTATATATAATTAATGGTAAAGCAAATCTGTATGTGACCAGGAGAACTCATCTTCTGTATATTCTGTAAAAACAGATTTATTTTACCATGTTTCAGACCCACTTGCTTTGGATCACTTTGGAGATGTGTAGGTTTGTAACTGTGTCAAGAGGAGATAGCCATGTTAGTCCTTTTCATCAGAAATAACAAAGACTCTTATAGTACTTTAAAGATCAACACATTTATTATGTAACTAATATTAGCTCTCCAGTTGCACTGCTACATGCCACATTTTAAATCACTTCTGTTGGTTCACTGTATTGTACATGTATGTTTGAGAGTATGTGAGAACTACAAAAAATGCACTTTTTGGTATAGGAATAGCAGCATGCTACTATGGTAGTCTCATTATTTTGGCTCCAAACTGCTGCTTTTCATCCAATGCTTATTTCCACAATTTGGAAGGCAGATTAGATACTGTAACCAGTTGCAGATCTTTCATTACTGCTCTGATTCCCCAAAGAAACAGATGCTTATTTTAATATGTAACTCATTATCATTAATTTTGTTACCTATCTATTTAAACTTTTCTTGGAATTCAGTATAATCCAGCTATCATTCTTTAATCTCTCATTATGTTGCTCTTATGCAGGAGACCAATACAATTTTGATACACAGAACACTGATTCAGCTTATTCACAAATAACACACAGGCAAAATGACTTTGGAAAAACTAAAAATTATTTAATGAAAGCAGTGAAAATAATTATATATATTCTATAAATACATTTCAATATAATTTGCTTTTAGTTTGTAACTAAGAATATTTAATAGCAGGAACTTCTCTTTCCAATTCTAAAAATTATTATGCCATTTAAAAGTATAACCTGAAGCAGAATGAAAATCTGGAAGTTAGGGGAAAAAAATGAAGAGGTCATCAAAAAACAACAAAATGAAAAAATACTAGACACTAACAGCTGAAATAAAGATTATAAAAACATGTACCTAGAAATACAAAGTGCTACAATTTTCAGATTTTATACAGGTGTCTGAATAATGTTTACATTACATACATAAAGGACAGAATAAATTAGCGAAGTTGATGGGAGGAATCTACTCTACTAGGGCTGTGCAATGTCTATTCATTTTAATAGTGAATGCACACACAAAATGAGTGAAGATTGCACAATACAGCAATTCAATGGATTGCACATGGTGGGAATAATTCACTGAAAAATTCAAGCTCTACTGAAAAAAACAACAGGTAACTATGTAAATTTTCAGCTAGTTTTCTTAGCTTGTCTATTGAAAATAAAACAAATGTTAATCTTGTAATTCTGCTGTAAATCTACAGTGTACTAAGTACTGTTCCTTATAAAGTCTAAGATTTCTCACATTTTAGTTTTAAATTATCATTGAAAACATGACCTCTTTTTAGGCAGCAGTAATCAAACCTGATGGCTAGCAGTAGCTTCTTTTTACTGGTTTTTCAGAAATAAAGCAGCTCCACATTGGATCCATTGATCTTGATTCCCTCCACATGGGACATCGATATTGGTTACCACACAATCCCTTTCAGCACTGGTATAAACAGGCAAAGAGATGCACTCTTCAGGGGAATAGGGCCCATAAGTATTCTGTCAACAAAGAACCAACCACTTGAATTAGAAGATATGGCTACCATGCATACACACACAAACACACACACAAATATATAGAATTTCCAGCCTCTCTTCCTAACTTCATGAAATTTACTTCTGAGAAAATGTAATAGCTTTGCCGTACATGGTCCTAATGAAGTAGGGCTAGAAATCAATTGTGATCACTTCAATTCTGTATAAATAGGCTCAGTAGACAAACACAGTTTCTGAAATAACATACAACTCTTGTCTATAATCTCATGTCAGGTTTTTAAAATTAACTTGGAGTAGGGGAATGATCCTGAACCTGCAGCTGGTGCCGAACTGGGGGTCAGACTACCTGATACTCACTGCATGGAAGAAACAGCACAGCTGCCTATTAAACATCAACATTTTGCTTCCATCATGTCAGGCCCCAAATAACTTCAAACCACAGTGCAGAATATCCTGCTGCTTGTACTATGACTTACAGAATGCTATCTTGAAATTACTTGCAGGCAAGGCTTCCCTACTGCCACACTCACTCTCAAAATCTCCCCTAAAATATTGTCATGCTTTCCCTCAAGAGATCTGGTTGGTGCCAACTATGAAATGCTTTAGGACCTGCTGAAGACTGATCTCTTTAATGAACCTTTCCTGTGTCAGTGTCATGTATAAACAAGTTTTTTTTCTTCTGCCACTTTTTACTTTTATTCTGCCGTTGTATATCATAAACGATTTCTATTGTATAGACAATTATCTTTGCTAAATTAACTGTATGGAATTCTTCATACGTTTTTCAAGTATTTTGCTGAAGTAGAAATGTTAGTGTATAAATGTGCTTAACTATAAATGTGCAATGTAGAGACAATATTACAATAAATAACAGTGTACCTTTGTGTATAATGTGCTGACAGCTATTCTCTGCACAGTATTGATCTTAACCTGCTCCTATTCATGTAATTGTTTCTGTACCCTCACAGAACAGAACTGTACCAACTTATGAAATGAAGTTGCTTAATGAGCTACATGCAACCCATCTTGATTCTAAAGCCATCTTATAGAAAGTTTTAACAAGTTCACTATCAGTAATAACTGAGCTGGAGGTGGGAGTCCATTCCAAGGGCTTCAGATACAGGAAAGCCTGACTTGTCAATTCAGGGACTTGGGCTGAGACATCCAAAGCCTGCAAAAAGAGCCAATCAGGAACAAGAGTTTTACAATTTTCAAGTGTGTGTGTGTGTGTGTGTATGTGTGAGTGATTTTTTTTTTTATAAAGGAAGGGGCTGGCTCCATTTTGCACTTGCCATTTTTCTCTATTCTTGTTGGATAGCTCTTTGCCAGGGCTGGTGAAAGCCAGATTAGAAAAGAAGCCTTAACCCCCAGAAACCCAGGCTGAAGGGCAGGGGACCAATGGAGCTAGACGCAGTATAGATTTAGTTTCCTTTTATGACTACAAAATGACATGTTGTGAGAGACTATGGGAAAGGAATGCAAGTAGAGATAAATACTGTATCAAGAGACAGAAGGTGAGTCAGTTGACAGCTTATCCCATATACAGCAACTTAGCTTAAGTGGCCAGAAATCTGAAAAAAAAAGTATTTTAAATAAATCAATATTCATTATTGTATTGCTTCCTTTCTTTTCTTTTTTTTCAGTTTCAGCTTTTTTCCTATTTTTGTTATTCCTTTATTTTTTCTTAGTTCTGTTTTAAGAGTAAACATAAAGGGAAAAACTCTTTCAAAGAGACTTGGCCTTAATTAATTCAGTATAAATTGGGCTGGGAAATTCCTGCTACAAGTTTCCAGGATTCTGTAGTTACCCCAGACATGTATTAAGGATAACTTCCTGAAATCTGTGTAGTTCTTGCTTCCTTGATCTTGCCCAGGTATGTGGGGCTTGACATCTGTGAGAATTTGTTCTATACGTTTGTGTGACAAAAATGACCAAGATCTATCTTTTCAGAAGCAATTATTCATCCTTTCTTTCTTTTCCTTTTTGTCCCTTTCAACTACCTTCTAGTGCAGTGTTTCTCAACCTCAGCAACTTTAAGATGTGTGGACTCCAACTCCCTGAATTCTCTAGCCAGCCATGCTAGCTGGGAAATTCTGGGAGTTGGAAGTCCACATGTCTTAAAGTTGCTGAGGTTGAGAAACACTGTTGTAGTGTGTGCTCTCTTCTCTTCTCTCTTTATGAATGATTTGCATTCTTAAGGAGTCAATGACATTCATTCTGAGGAAAGGGGCCAGCCTTTAACATACCTCTTTCCATTTCATCAGCTTCTGAATGAAGGAGGATTGCCACTTGTCTCCTTCTGAGTAAACAAGGGCAGAGAAGGATTTTTCTGGAAAAAAATGGCTGGTGGCAGCATTGTTGAGTCAGCTCTTCCCAAAGGTTTCAGTGAGGGTACAGTAGGTTTATGAGGGAAGAGTTCAAAGATCCCCCTCATGGAAGCTAGTGGGACCCAACCCACCTTATCCCGTGTGCATGTGCACTCATGCCCTTTTGGTAGCTGACAGAAAAAATAATCTGGTTTGAATTGCTTTTAAGGGCCTCTTCATGTTTCAAAGTTGAAATGTTTCTATTTTGTGGATTATATGTACATGAGGTTATTCCAAGAAAGACTATTTGCAACCCATACAGCAGCAGGGAATATCATTAACATTACCAGGACTGGTATGGACATGCATACCAGAATGATCTGGACATGCATAAATTTATTTCAGGCTAGTTCAGCAGGTGCAAATCCACCAGAAAAGGTAATATTATAATTTGAATACAAAGAAAACATTTACACAAAGTACCTTAAAACTGGCTATATTCTTGAAAGCCCTGTATTAACTAAATCAGTTGATTATGAATTGGGCTTAAATTATTTATCTAGATTTATTTTAGGAAAATATAAACATTTCATACACGTCTTTTACAGGTCCACTAATTCGCTTGTATTGTTCCAATTGTAACCCTTTTTTTTTCTTCAAATATTTAGCTTTCTGAGAAATGGGAAATTCACTTATAAAACTACAAGGAATGAGGTTATTAAACTGCAAGGCACTTGATCTTTTCAAAAAAGAGGAAGAAGAAAGCATTAGGCATCTACTGAAAACCTATTATTGAAAAGGAATGCAATTACAAGGCTTATCATTTAGAGTGGGCTAATTAATAATGAAGTACCTGAGGAATCCAGGCCATATAACAAGCAAGAACAGTAGAAACACTAGGTGAGTCATGTCGATTTTCAGAAAGTCGATTTCCATCAAAACTACAGCCTTCTAGTTGAAGGCCACTGATCTGTCATGGAAACACAAAATATTCAATGATATGTTGCAGGCTGAAATGTGAGCAGTGACTGTATTGTATTTTAACATAAGTTAAAATCCAGTTCTCTGAATGGCTTCTGTAAATAACAATATCTACCAATAGAAGAGAATATGTATAGTTCAGGGTTGAACTGTGGAGTCCTTGGGGTTCTCTGAGCTTGGT